TTTCATACTTTTAGTATAAATTGCTCTTTTATTTTGAAACAGTATTATAAATATTATCTAGGAAGGGAAAACTAGCAATTAAATAGCTAGTTATTTTCTGCATCTTGGGTAGTAGGTAAAATGAAATCAATTTAGGATGCTTTAGTGGCAGAAGTACATAATATATCACTTATGGATCTCCATGAAGAGAGAATTCTCTATGCTGACACCTTAAGTTGAAGCCATGGGGTTCAGAGGCTTTCATTCCTATGATTAGTTATTGTCTTGCTAATAAGGGTCACCGGTTTCTGCCCTATATTCATAAAAATACTATAGCCTTGTTAGATTTATTCCGTACTGTTCATCTGTGATGTGCCCATCTCCAAAGACAGATGTAGCAAAGTGGTATACAGTGCTTCATAATGAAATTTTATAGCTTTTAGTTCTTTTGTCAGCTCTACAATTATCAGATGATTTATTTTTGTATACTATTCATGTTTTGTTTTGTTTGAATGTATTTTTATTGCACTGTCTTTTCTTCAGTAAATCTTTAAAATATGTCAGTACCTGTGCTGTTCGTGACTATTCTAAGTGCTATCATCTGTGATGTTCATACTTTGTGTTTGCACGATTTAACTGGATCATGATTCATCCTTTTTTTCCCCATGAATTTTTCCCCTTCCATTGGTCTCCATATTTTCTATATCTCTCTCCTTTTCTCCCGCTCTTGTGCAGATAGCTCCTCCAAGAAGACAAAGTCTAGTTCAGAGGAGAGTAGATCCGAGATATATGGTAAGCTAATGTAGCTAATTCAGCCTTGCCCTTTGGAGCTTGCTTCATGCTGTTTCTTTTCTTTCTTTCTGTTTTTCTTTTTCTTTCTTTTTTTTCTTTTTAAATAATTGCAGCCTTTCTTATGTCTGCTCTGCATGGCATGATCTACTGCAGGGAAAGGGAGCCTGGGGTTTCAATGTGGCTGTGATGCGGAAGCTTAAGGTTGCTAGAAACTAACAATGTTAAGAATAGGCCACGATACCCATCTTCTCTTTCATCGTGTTTATGTCAGGAAAATGATTGTCTCTAATATGTTTGGGTCAGGTTTCTCCAAATAACATGAATGGGCTTTAAATTCTTGTCATCTTCTTCCCATGTCTCATTTGTACAGTTTGGATTATGTAGAATTTAAGCAATTAAGTTTTTTCCTCTAAGTATAGTACTGGTGTAATTTAGATAGATATTGGCAGTTCTTTGGAATTTTTATTTTCATTTTATTTTTTGTTTATTTTTAATTGCCTCATCATTTGGAAAAGTCATTCTTGTATGATTTATCCATGATAGCAAAAATACGTAAGTATTTTATTTTCATACCTTGAAGAATTTGTCTATGCTTTTCAGAAATTTCCTTGAAACTTTTTCTGAATGGGAAAATTTTTAAATGGTACCTTTAAAAAATAATCTTCACAAAGAACAAGCTCAACCTTAGTGATCAAGTTTTGCAACAGATGATTGAAATACTAATATTTCTAGACTGTGTCCTGTCTTCCAAAGATAGAATAAACCATGTTTTTGAAGTTCATATATATTTTGCCTTTTCTTATGCAGTTTTACCTGCCCTCTTCCCTTCTTTTGGCATCTGATTAGCTTTTTGAAAAAAAAGCACATAGGAGAAGCACTGCGTGGAGCCAAGACTTTTAAAATAATCTCTGAAAGACTAGTAAGTTATTTCTTTTTAGGAAGATTCCAGATTTGGCTTCAGTGGAAAATCAGGTTTTCTTTAATAGAGTCACAAGTCTATCACGTGGATGTTTTCCCAGGTGCAAGTGTTCCTAGCTTGACATACATGATAGGGAAAAAATATATGGAATTTCCCCTCCCACCTTTTAAGACATTTGACAGTTTACATATATCGGTACTTCAGCCCATGATGTCAGATGCTTTTTGTTTTTTTAAGAGATGGGTTCTTGCTATGTTTGCCAGGCTGATCTTGACTCCTGGCCTAAAGCAATCCTCCCACCTTGGCCTCCCAAAATGCTAGGATTACAGGTGTGAACCACCATGTCCAGCCCTCAGATACTTTTTAATATTCTGAAGTCTCAGTGTTTGATTCTAAACCCTGTAGTGCTTCTCTGTTATATAGATGCACATAGTTCTTTACTTGGTTTTTGTGACCAGTACTTTTTCTGTGTAGTTATACCTTTTACAGTAGTCCAACAGGGAATGTTGCTTGTGGCATTTCAAGTTTGTGCTTTTTTCTTCCCTCCAAAATATTTCACTCCTTATATGTAAGAAATACCTTCTTAATTCCTGGAGACTCTTTCTGTTCTATATAAAGAGCTTCGTACAGTTTATTCTCTCCTTAGGAATGTGAACATTACCCTTATAGCTCCATTCTTTTCCAGTAGCCTTTGCAGTGTTGTATTTCATCTCCTTAACCATTTTCCTAGATCTGTGGTTTATATGCAGAAGCTTGCTGTGTGCTTTGGATGAAGACTAACAATTTAGGAATCTATGACTAGAAATATTATAGTAATTTTTTATTATTTTACCAGTGATAGGAATATTAACACTAGTTCAGACGTGCCATTGGCTTGGTAGTAATAGAAACATTTTAAGTGGTAATCGGGAAGTAAGGTGTGGCTTCTCCGTGTTTTTGTTTCTTGAGAACCCTTGAGATACCTTTTTTGGAAGGAACTGAGCCCACAAGTCCTTAAAAAAGTGCTCATTCAGAGGGATGAGTTGATTGAACAGCGTTAGCATGCTAACATAAATCTCTTTGATGTTACAAATATTTTATTACCTGTGTGAATAGACTTCTTTGGACTGTGTGCAGTTAATATGGGTAAAAAAGACTCTCTAGAAAGTCCAGGAAAACTTGGAAATAACTGCAATAAAACTGAGTAGAGTCATAGCAACTGGTGTCATTCTGCTTTCTTATATGATCTTGTGACAAGCCCACTTCAAGCATTTGAGATTATATGTTGTCTTCTCTTGGGGTAAAATTCATTAGCTGGGTATTTAACACAAATGCTAGTTATTCATTTACAAATTATTTATTTTAAACTTTCTTAGCCATTTTTAGAGCTACTTTGTGAGATAGATATACTTCTCATTTTAAAAGGAAACCAAGTGTTTGTTTTGTATTAATTTTTTTGTTTAAGTTGCCAGTCAGTCAATATTTATTTCATTTACCCCTCTTTCCCCCTCTGTACCTTTTGGAGTCTGTTAACATGTATGGATATGTTTTCTGAGCTGCAATTTTAATAATACTTCATTTTCTATTTCTCTTACTAATATTGTAAGGGAGAACTTCTGTGGGTTACTGTGGGAAATAAGAGATTCAGCAAGGGAATTTTGAGTTTAATCCTAACTTCTATCTTGGTGTCATGAAGAGATTCCCACTGATAGTGTTATATGCAAGAAAATAAGCCATGTCTTCTTAAAACTGTCTTAGCATGCTTGGGCTAAGCATGCTTGGGCTGCCATAACAAAATACCATGGACTGTGTGGTTTAAACAACAGAAATTTATTTTCTCACAGTTCTGGAGGTTGGAAGTCCAAGATTAGGGTGCCATTGTGGTAGAGTTCTGGTGAAGGTTCTCTTGCTGGCTTGCAGATGACTGCCTTCTTGCTTTCTCCTCACATGGTCTTTCCTCAGTGCATTGGGGTGGGGGAGAGAGAGAGAAAGCTCTCTGGTGTCTTTTATAATCCCATCATGAGGGTTCCACCCTCATTACTTCATCTAACCTTAATTATCTCTAAAAAAGCCTCATCTCCCAATACCATCACATTGAGGGTTAGGGCTTCAATATATGAATATATGAATTGGGAGACGGGATGGGGAACAGGGGGATAAACATTTAGTCCATAACAGAAGCAAACAGTTAGTACCTGAAATATCCTGGTTTGGATACTTCAGTGTAATTTTTAAAAATTCCTATCTTTTTCTTATTTGGTCTTCTCATATCTTTAAAAAGAAAAGTTTTTGGTTTGATTCTTGCCCCCACCAAGTTGCTATTTCTGTTGTCTTTTTCAACCTTGCAAAGAACATTCCACATGAACCTTGTGTATCCTCATAAACCATTCATTTCTTAACCTCTTGTAATCTGACTTCTGAACTCATATTATCTCAAAGGTGAACCAAGACATCCTATTTGAAAATCGATTAACTTTTTTTTTCTCAATTCTTGCCTTTCTTCTGAACCCTTTGGTAATGCTAGTGTTTCATTGGTTTCTATAATACATTGTATCAACCTAGTTCTTTTCTCTTTGTAGTTATTTTTATCTCTGTTTACTTGATTGCTTTTTCCCCTCTTGTCTTATGCATGTAGGCATGACCGAAGTTTCAGTCCCCAATCTTTCTTCTAGTCTCCAATCTTATATTTTCAACTGTTTGCTGGATACTTTCTTTTTAAGTGTTCTAAGTGTTCCTCAGATTCAGAATGATCAAACTGGAGTTCATCATTGTTCCCTATAGCCAGAAATCAATCTTTCTCTCAACTTCCCTAATTTTTTAAATTTCAGTAGATTTAGTGGGTACAAGTGGTTTTTTGTTACATAGATGATTATGTATAGTGGTGAAATTGGGGCTTTGGTGTACCCATCACCTGAATAGTGTACATTGTACCCAGTAGGTAATTTTTTATCCCTCACTCCCCCCAACTCTCTCTTCTGAGTCTCCGGTGTCCATTATACCACTCTGTATGACCATGTATATCCACGGTTTAGCTCCCACTTATAAGTGATAACATGTGGAATTTGTTTTTCTATTCCTGAGATACTTCACTTAGGATAAATATCTCAATTTTCCCTCCAAATTGCTGCAAAAGACATTATTTCATTCTTCTTTATGGCTGAATAGTATTTCATGGTATCTATATAACAACATTTTCTTTATCCACTCATCAGTTGATGGGCACGTAGGTTGATTCATATCTTTGCAGTGGTGAATTGTGCTTTGATAAACATGAGTGTAGGTGTCTTTTTGATAAAATGACTTATTTTCCATTGGATAGATACCCAGTAGTGGGATTGCAGGATCAAATGGTAAGTCTACTTTTAGTTCTTTGAGGAATCTCCATAGTGTTTTCCGCAGAGATTATACTAAGTTATATACCCACTAACAGTGTGTAAGAGTTCCCTTTTCATTGTATTCATGGTGCCAACATCTATTGACTTTTTATTTTTTAGTAATGGCCATTCTGAAAGAGGCAAGGGGTATCTCATTGTGGTTTTAATTTGTATTTCTCTGATGATTAGTGATGTTGAGCCTTTTTTCATATGTTTATTGGCCATTTGTCCATCTTCTTTTGAAAATTTCTGTTCATGTCTTTTGCCAACTTTTTTATGGGGTTGTTTTTTTCTTGCTGATTTGTTTGAGTTCTTTGTAGATTCTGGATATTAGTACTTCGTTGGATGCATAGTTTACGAATATTTTCTCCCATTCCATAGGTTGTCTGTTTACTCTGTTGATTACTTCTTTTGCTTGATGACAATATTATTCTTCCATTTACCTGGTCTTATTTCCTTACAGTCGTCTTCAGTTTCTCCATTTCCCTTGTCCCCTGGAGTCAGTTATTTGTCAGGTTCCTCTGATTCTACCATCACAATACTTTCCATCGTTCACTTTTTGGTTTCATCCCGCTGCCTTGTTCAGTTTTTCATCATTTAATTAGATTATTTTAATAGATTCATAACCTTCTTTTACTTCAATTTCACATTGATTCATTTCCTTTTCTCCGTTTTACTACATTCTGCCTTGACCTGTCAGATTAATATTACTAAAGTAAGGATTTGGT